TTAAAATATAATTTTGGGGTTACAATTTTAGGTCCAAAAAATTTTTGGTTTATCTTCAAAAATAATTACCCATATAAATATTAATTAAAGATTTGGAAATTGAAAGTTGAAATTTATAACAAAAACATAAGTGGATCAAAAAACTTTTGAAAACAGCTGTATACATTTTAGTTAAAATTAATTATTAAATCCAGTTAGTTTATTAAATAAAAAACAAACCCAATTTTTAATTAAAGAATTTAAATTTTAAAGTTAGCCTCATTGGATATACAGTATATACAGTATATATATATATATATATATATATTTTAGTATCAAAATTTCTTTAAATATACAGTACGTACAGTATATAGTGGTCATGGGCGTCGCTTATGAGTTTGATTATCGGGCGCCACCCACAGTATTATCGAAATTTTGTACTGTATATCAAACGATCACATAAAGATAATAAATTGGTTTCGGCGTCCTGACAAATGTAAAACGAAAAAAAACCCTTATAATCTGGCCAAAAAAAGAAAAACATATGCTGGATGGTTAACACGTATTGAATTGACAATAAGGGAGCAAATGGTTATATATACATATATGCATACCAGGAGGATTCGAAAACAAGTTTTTCAATGGTCAATAGATTTCCTTTTAGACCATTTGTACCTTGGTTATGCTTTTGCTATTATAGGAAGTGTTTCGAGGTCTTTAAAATGACACGATTTAATTTGGTTCGTATAAATTAGCACGCATTACTTTGCATGCGAAAGTATGAAAGTATATAATAAAGTACCTATCGAATTAATGCTTAATCCTAAATTCCTAAATTACGTAACATATAAATAACGTTCTTTGCGCTAATCGACGATCTTGGCGGAATGGTTCTACGTAATGTGCATATAAATAATAAATTATGCTTAAGTAAATATTATAATGTCTTTGGAAGATTTCAGCAGAACTTCAGAAATTTTTTCGCATTGCATACGTGGATTAGGGTGTCTGAAGGGGGTTAAGGCGTGGGTTTTATGCGGTGGATCCTTACGAAAATCCTTTGAAACATGAACAATGACAGTTTTTCCATTAAGGCGCGGCGATAGCAGTGACTCCTCTATTCAAATTTATGACGAGTGGAGAGTTTCACGCATTCGCATATTAATTATCATTGTAGAGTAATTGCATTAGTTGCCTGGAAAATCGATCGATATCGCGCAGGAATCTTTAAAGGTTGCGAGCAATTAGCTCATTTACTACGCCAAAACCGTGTAGTCCCCTAAACCTAAAAGGATAGCTCATATTATTTTTAGTTAACCCCCCAAAAAGTACTAAGGAGCAGATCATGCATCTTTATTCAGTATAACAAACATCTCAATTGTTATTCTCTACTGCCCCTTGTGCAAATTTTCCAATTCTGTTTCTTTTCGGACAAAAAGCGATTGATCATTCCACGGATATTAACTATAAAAAAAAAATATATATTTCTTTAAAGGTTGATTTAGTGAAAAAAATTTTTCAAAAATTCATCTCTCTCTCAATTTACATCGGGATTCAATTGGCCAAGTAAAGTTTTTTTGTGTTTTTCGATGCATAGAATATTTTCGAGTGCTGTAAAGTCTCTAACATGTTTACTGTTGTTAACTTCATTTAAAATTCAGTTAGGGGTTCTTTCGTTTTCTTAGCAATATCCCGTTCCTCACGCACACCCTCCTCCTTGCATACTTCCCTGCCTAATGAATCGTCCATCACAATTCTTATGAAATTATTTTGACTTTTGTTTGCCTCTTGCCCTCGCCTGAGTCAATAATACGATTTTATTAAGAAACTTTATTTTTCAGGAAAACTTTCTAAAGTTACCAGATGCCTGTTTGGGTTTTCAAACTGTAACGATCACTGAAATTATTGAATTACACTCAAGTTACAATGGGACCCAATACTGTAGGCCAGACTATCGACAAATTCGTATGTAATTGTTTTTTTTTCTTAAAAAAAAAAAAAAATCTTAACAGAACTCTTCTCCAAGAACCGTGTATTAAGTATTTTTCATTTCCTTTTGGGTGATCCATTTCGTTTTTGTTCTTTGCTTCATTGAAATATTAGCAAATGGGCGAATGCCTGGGAAAGGGAGCTTTTGGCTCCGTTTATAAAGCCTTCAACTGGGAAACTGGTGAAGTTGTAGCTGTCAAACAAATGAAGCTAAGTAACATACCGAAGTCAGAATTAACCTTCATAATGGTAATATCTCAAAAAAATTTTTATATAGATCATATAATCAAGTTTCGCATATTTAATTATTCTATTCCTTTCATTTAGACTGAAATCCAATTGTTGAAAAATTTGAACGTAAGTTATAAATGTCAATTCTCAATTCAACAATCGATTCTCCAGGCTATCTTTATTCAACCTTTTTTTTTAATTGTTAGCATGAGAACATCGTAAAGTACAAGGGTTTCATCAAAACAAGAGAATATCTGTATATAATCTTGGAGTAAGTACGCTAATTTTATAATATTGATTCGTCGACAGTGCTCTGAGTATGTAATAATGTTTCATGCCTAATTTTAGGTTTTGCGAAAATGGGTCACTACATAATATTTGCAAAAAATTTGGAAAGTTTCCCGAAAATCTGGTGGCAGTATACATTAGTCAAGTTTTAGAAGGATTACTTTATCTTCATGATCAGGGAGTCATACATCGAGATATCAAAGGCGCAAACATTTTAACAACAAAGGAAGGTTTGGTGAAATTGGCGGATTTTGGTGTCGCAACAAAGTCGTTGGGCGACTTCTCTGTGGTCGGCTCGCCTTATTGGATGGCACCAGAAATAATCGAGTTATCGGGTGCGACAACTTCATCAGACATTTGGAGTGTTGGGTGTGTTGTGATTGAACTTTTGGAAGGAAAACCTCCTTATCATAACTTGGAAGCAATACCCGCTCTGTATCGAATTGTGCAGGATGAGCACCCTCCTTTACCGGAAAGTGCTTCACCCGTCGTGAAAGATTTTCTAATGCAATGTTTTCAGAAGGACGGCAATCTTCGTGTGTCTGCCAGGAAACTGCTAAAACATCCTTGGATAACAAACGTTCAAAAGAGAGGCGTAGACACTAGGCAAGAGCCAACTGGGTTTGAGGAAGCAATGAAAAGCGTGCAAGAGTGGAACAAGGCATTAAAGGGGTCCCCTCATGAACCGCCTCCAAAGCCGCACAGAAGGAGGAGAAGTGAATCCCTAAGATTGGCGGCTACTATGCCACGAATGCAATCCCCACAGTTTAACGGTTTTCCTTCCCCTACTCCAAAAATATCGTTAAAGAATATTGAAAATGATAATCGTAGCAATAATAATAATTGGGAAAAGATGATGGCTTTGAACTCGAATCTACTGTTCAGTCCTTCAATTCAGCAAAACAATCGCCTATCGGTTACGGTTGAGCCCGAGGACGAAGGAAACAACAATTGGGACGATGATTTTGTGGATTCTATACCGATCTCAAAAATTGCAGAACATCAAAGCAAGAAATTGAACCATAAATCATCCGAAGAGGATCAAACCATACGACCTTCTCAATTTAAAAATGAAAAGGGAAAAAAATCGATGATCAACGGAGCGCAGAAAGAAGAAACGTCGATTGAAGAAACGGTTAGGATGGTACCCGGAGGGGCGGGCAGCAATTGGGAATCAATGCAAGATACCGTGATTCGACTGCCAAGGAGCAATATTAAAAATGACAACGGCGCGACACCAGTAAGATCACTCGCACCAGTTGACAATAAACAAAAGGATCTAGTTAGACCGGAACAACCAGCCGTAAAGGCTCTGGTCAAGCAGCACGCTCGCGCTCACAGTGCAAACTATACCATTGATTCTTCGACAAATAAACCACTACTTCCTTTGCCCTCACAAAAATCCGTGTCCTCAACAGTTTCTGCAACCACGACAACCGCACTCTTATCGCGAAGGACTTCTATATTAAAGCCGGTTTCCCAAATTGAAATACCGAACCAACGAACCTCCGTGCTCACCCCCTCGTTGTCATCGCCTCTCGGTCAACAGGATGATTCTCAAAGTTCTAGCGAGATATATCAATATCGCGAATCCGATGACGATGATGATTATAACAAAGTTTTTCATAATGAACACGAGGACAACGAAGATGGAATATATAATACGTTGAGATTGAACACTCGATTATCAAACAAGGGCAACAGTTGGCTAGGGGATGACGTAAGCGACGAAGATGACCCGTTTGCGGAGATGGAAGAAAACTTTTATGAAGTGGACATAGACACGCACATTGCCAGAGACAAGTTTGTACGTGCGTGTGCCCATTTGGAAGAACTTATCAGCGCTCTGCAGCCAAATGAAAGCGAAGAACGATTGGTGATCTTGTGTGAACAAGTAATTGGACTGTTGATGGAACACAAGAACCTCAAGAACCATTTCATAGTATTCCATGGTGCGATTCCTATAATGGAAATGCTTGAGATATGCTCTTATAATAGCGTGCTTTCTAGGTTGCTGAAAATAGTCAACATTATTATTGAGGATAACATCAATCTTCAGGAAAATTTATGTCTGGTCGGAGGTATTCCCATCATCATGAATTTTACACTGAAGCGCTACCTATACGAGATTCGGGTCGAAGCGGCAATATTTATTCGACAAATCTGTCACACGTCACCGATCATCCTCCAAATGTTTATTTCTTGTAGAGGGTTGAAGGTGTTGGTTGAGTTCTTGCAAGAGGATTATGATGAACACAAGGAGTTGGTATGGATAGCTATCAATGGAATATCGGGCGTTTTTGAGTTGCAGAGTCCAACACCAAAGAACGATTTTTGTCGGCTGTTGGCTAAAAACGGATTGCTAGATCCGTTGGCTCTTACTTTGCACAGTGTTATGGCTGACAACGATCCATCGGCTAAAGGTTATGTTGAGAGGATAGTGAACATATTTTCGCTATTCTCACAGGGAGATGCGTACGTCAAAGAAGTTATGGCCACTCGTACAAGAGTGGTTCCGCGTATCTTCGAGGTTCTTGAAAGGCTATCCCAAGATCTGATGGTGATCATGCTTAAATGCATAAAGAACATCTCGATGAATTCCAATACTTTGGAGGCACTACAAAAGGCCAAGACCATTCAAGTTCTCACGGCGGTGATGGACAAGCAGGGGCCACCGTACATCACTGAAATCTCGAATCAAGTGCTCAACACGATGTATAATCTCTGCCGAATCAACAAGTCTCGACAAGAGGAAGCAGCGCGGGCCGGAATAATTCCTCATCTACAATATTTTGCTTCAAGAAAGACACCTCTTAAACAGTTTGCACTTCCCATCTTGTGTGATATGGCGCACACAGGACAAGTGTGCCGAGAATTATTGTGGAAAAATAATGTATTACAACTTTATCTCGACCTATTAATCGATCCATTCTGGCAGGTGAACGCCTTGGAAGCCATACTTGCGTGGTTTCAGGAGGAGACGTGCAAAGTGGAACGAATACTTGTGGAACAAAAGAGTATTGACCTTATACTAGGGGCTTTTGTCACAGCAAAAGCCAACTCATTCGAGTCCATCCTGGAACCATTATATGTCCTAATGCAGTTATCTCGGGATGTGACGTGCGCTCTTGCTCAACCTAATTTCTTCAAGCGTCTTTTGCAGCGACTGGATCATCCCAAACCTGTGGTGAGATTGAATTTGCTAAGAGTTTTGAAAACGGTGTGTGACGTGTATCCACAACGTGAAGTCGTCATCGAGAAGTACGAACTCAGTAGTATTATCCTTAAAATGAGTAGAGACGATCCGGCCGTTTTGATCAGGGAAAAGGCCAAGGAAATATTATCACAAGATTATTTTAGTCCCGGTGATAGGATGTCACCGATACCTTCGCCTGCAACACCGTTGATTGAAAAGGACTGCCCTGTAGGTAATGGTGAAATTACGGTTTTTGGCGGAGAGGAACGAAAAGAGAGAAAAAGCGAGTTCGAAATAAGTGAAGCTGAGAACGATTCCTGTGATGATGTTTCAACTTGCGAGGAGAAAGACGAAGATGATGTCAGTTGACTCGGGGCGGTTCGGGTGGAAACTCACCACCGGAACCAATACCACAATTTGCGTCGAAATAATCGACCTCCACCGCCAACTACATTCCGGAGACGGGCGCTATCGTCTCCTGTGTCTCCCAACACGCAATATACATTGTCACAACCACGACCACTTTCAGCAACTAGCATGACACCTATTGTTCAATATTATTCACGTTCATCATCATCCACATCCTCACGATCCACTCATACTCAACTATCATCAGTCACTTCGGAACCATCTTTTCTGAGTCACAAACGTCAATCATCGCGAATGCCATCTACCTACAGAACAAAATATGCACACTCGGCCTCATCATTAGTTCTGGTTTCTGAAGATGGAAATTTAACGGAGGACATAAGCACATCATCTTCATCGGTGTCCCTCGACTCTTCGTTGCCGTTTCCGTATGAAAAAATCAAAAAACGAAATAGTTCACGTAAGATAAGAACGCTTTCGCATCATCGATCCTACAACAATCAACCAAGTCCCATTGATGAAGCCACTGAACCTGATCCACAAGAAAATTCGAAAAGTAATGTTAGTACGGCTCGTAATTCCCTTTTTAATTCATCGCACCCTGGAGGTGTCCTGAGCTGGTTTAGGAGGCGAGTGTCAGAAAGGGGATTGAAATCTAAAATCAAATCGCAGGATTCTACAACGATAACCGAAAAATCCTTGGAGAAGTGAATAAATCATTACCCATAAATTATTTTATTTGTAAATTTTTAATTTCACTCTTTCTTTTCTTTACTTTTTTTTTTTTTTGTTTGTTTTTGTTTTGTTTTTGAGAGGGTAGACTTTACATAATGGATTTAAAATTTACTGTATGTCTTTCATATTTTATTTCTTTTAAACTCGTGCATACAAAGAAGACGGTCATTTATTATTTCCGCTTCACCTTTAAACCATCGATTACATAAATCTCCTACTTTATAATCCGAAAAACAATCACCCACTGCATTCAAAGATTTTAAAAAATCGGTTAAATATTATTATCTTTAATATTGTAAAATTTATGGTTATTCATTATTCTTTTTTTTTTTTTTTTTTTTTTTTTTTCCAAACTTTTCTTTCATACTGTATGTTAATTAACTTTTAAAATTCCATTTATTCTGAAACTTGTGGTTTCCCGCAATACCTTTGAGTCCTATACATTGATCGATCTTGTGTCATGATGTTAGAAAAATTTTATTTACAAATATTATGGTATTAAATGTAATATGGTTATTTGTAAATTAAAAAATTTCCGAAAACATGAGCTTGATGATTAATGGATTTTAAAAATGAAATGCGTAATTAAATGTAAGAAAGTAATTAAATTATGAATCGTGAATTTTTAAATCTTCGGCCAATAAGGAAATAGGTTCCATGGATCGGAATGCCCAAAGTTTCTGTTTTGGAAGAATCAAACACATGTCATCATTTATAGTTGACAATGAATAATAAATAAAAAATTTTAATAATAATAGATAATTTTAAGGATTTGAAACGAAAAATGAATTTGCCACTAGTATGAAAATTATAGCTACTGCTGCACTTGTTAAAATTACACTTCCTCGCTTACAAACGTGATTCTTGAATTACAGTATTTTATTTCCTATTACGCAATTGCTTTCTGGTAAATTGATCGAAAAATAGAACACAAGGACACCGCCATCACAATGGAATTAGGGTGGAAAAGAATATTATTAGAATCAGCTGAGATGGGCGTGCGGCAGATACGAAGGTTAAAAAAGATTAGCACATCGCATTTGAATGTTATTAAAATCAGCTACGATAATGGAGTTGAATTGAAAAGGATGATCTCGTCGAAATGAAAATCGTGAGAATTTTGATTTACCTAATCAATTATTATAATTATTATATTTAATAAATAGAATTGTTGATTAATTAGGTAATTGTTATTCTATTAATTTATTGATTATATACTGTAACTAAATGCGCGATTTAATTTGAATCAAAGAATCGTCGATGGCCATTTTTCTAAAGGTATTTGGTGATATTGAACTTAAGAATCATTCATTATGTGATATTTCGAGATGGTGGTTCCAAGGATTACGCTCTCATTTTGAAAATTGCACCAAATGGCAAAATTATTCATTCATTCGGTTGCATTGATGAAATGGAGGTGAAAGCAAACTTACTATTAATATTATGATTACACTCATTCACAGAGATTTGCATGTACAGTATATACTGTATATTGCCAGGCACCTGGAATAGTGCATACATTGCAGATTTGGAGTCTTTTCAATATCAAACCTCAATAGCATTAAAAATTGAAATTTGCGAAATTTTGCCATACGTGCCATCACATGGTGAAGCATATATAATTATGTGGGAAATTTCATCAGGAAAAGTTGTTCGTCTCACTACCAGGATTAAATTTCAATCTAAGTACGTAATGGTTCACGGCATTCGATTGTTGAAGGTGCGCACAATGGGTGTTGTGGATAAATCAATGGACAATTCTAAATCTGATAAAATGCCAAAAATGCGAAAATAAATTAAAAATACGGAAAATATACTCGAAATAATTTGTAAAATAATTACTATAAAATTATAGGTACGGTAATTAAATACATATTGTATTTTTGTATTACCTTATTAAATTAAGGCTAAATATTTTTATTTATAAAACATTTTTTTTTTACCCTCTTGCAAATTACTAATATAAGAAAGATTTTCTTTTTTTAATTCTTTTTTCTTTTGTTTTTTTTTTTTTTTTAATACAATTTTGATCTTGATAGGATTCTTTGAAAATGTTATAAATGCATTTTTTTTTTTTTTTTTTTTAACCCGCAATCATGCCACAATGGTATGTCTTTATTGAAAAATTGAAAATGAATTTACAGTATTTTATAGACTTTCACAAAGTGACTAACTCATCTTCATACAAAAGTATTCTAAGTCAGATTTTGGGGACAATATTTCACTCCCCTAATAGATTGGTAATAATCTCTATCTACCAGGATCATTACCAATAGTTTGTCACTGTTGATTACCCGAAAACCAATGAATTGCTAAGTTAAAAGGGGAAAGGAGAAGAATGATTTGGGAAAGGAAACAATTCAAGGCCCACCAAAAAAATCCAAAAATAAAAACAATCTCTTCTCAAAAGGGATCTGCCTGATTGAAATAATTTTCTTGCTTCACTTGAACCTTAGAAGAAATCTTCTTTTTCATCACCTGCGGGATCAGACAAGTCAATCCAACTGGTCTTTTATTTAAGTGAACATCAGATTGGGATATCTCAAGGAAAGCATTTAGACCTCAGCTTTTTTCCATTAAAGTTTTGTCACCACTTGAGGAACTTAGGTAAGAGACAGATGTTTGCAATCCACATTACTCATTACTTGATTTTTTGGTGTCATAGAAGTTTTTATTGAAGAATTTGAGCTTTTTGGAGGCAACTGTTTCCAGAACCTTCTTTCTGATCACCAATGATGTCATCGGAACAAATGATTGTGATCAATAGAAACTTGTTTACATTCCAAAAACTAATGTGCTTCATGTTAGCCAATCATCTTTGGTGAGGATTTGTGTTATCAAAAATTCAGGGTCAAACTGAGGTAGGCAAAATTTTCCAGAAAACCATGAAAGTGATAGCTCTAAAAGGCCTAACAGTGACTGGAAAGGAAAAAATAAGTTCTTTTGTCATCAAAAACCTCTATATATCTCTCGCTTCAAAGATTAAAAAGACCTTCAAATATTTCATAGTCAGTTCTTCTTCCTTTGGAAACTTTCTTGCCATTGGTATCAAAGGTATTACTTGACTTTTCTTGGTCACTAGAAGTCAAGTTTTTGAGTGAAGAGATTTGTAGACAATAGGGAAAAGGTAAAAGTAACTTTTGAAATCATATTTCAAGTTGTTTTAAGGAAAGTATTAAGACTTTATTAGCAAGAAAGTATGAAAACCTCTTGCAAACATCTTTTTTGTATGCGGTCAAAGGATTAGTGAAAAGAGTTTTCTTTATAACAATGAATATAATTTTATATTAAGCTTATATGATATATTGTTATTGAATACTTGCTATTGTTCTAGTATTGATTTTTTTATATCAATTTTTTTAACAAGCCTTGTTCTAATTACTTTTACTATATTTTTTTAAAAAGATCTATATATATATATTTTTTTTTTTGCCCTCTGTCAGGCTAGTTACGTATGCTTTATTAAACATTTGTAAACTGTACATATAATATGAGATGCTAAAGCTAATTCTTTAACTAACTCACTCGTCTAGGTTATTTTACCCTTCTAAGTGCAACTTTGGGAGTAATTTATCACTCCGTTAAGAGTTCAGGTGAACACCCTTCCAACTTCTAACATCATTGCCTGCAGATTACTACTGCAGATTTTAAAAAGACCTATATTATATAATATTATTATAAATATAATATAATCATTATCTGTAATTTCTTCAATGCTTTGATTATTAAACCATAGAATAGAATATCTTGTTAAGCTTTGTGATATTCAGATGTAATTTATATAACTACTATTTATTATATTTTGTTATATTGAAATTTTGTTTTTTCTTTCTATATATTTATATATTTATAAATCTTACTTATTCAATATATTAAATAGTAAAATTTCTGTTTATCAAGAGAGTTTAAAGTTTGTTTTGAAGAATGATACTTTATTTTTAGCTAGATTTTATACCATATTGAAATCACTTATTATTATTATATAAAAGTTACTTCTATACTTTTCTTGAATAATGATTATTATGTGTTTTTGTACTTTTTTGCTTCTTTTCTTGTTAGAAGAAATATAAACTTGTATGATGCAAACTTTGTTTTTTAGCATAAAAAAGTTAATAGCTATTGTATATTCCTCTGCTTCTTCTATAGATATTATATTTTTTTCAAGTTTTTTCTAATTAAAAGAATAATGCACACTTCAAAAGAGTTTTTTAAATTGCTAACAAACTCTTTTCGCTGATCCTCTGACCACACACAAAAAAGATGTTCGCAAGAAGTTCTTATACTTCTTTGCTAATAAAGTTTTAATACTTTCCTTAAAACAACTTGAAGTATACTTAAAGAGTCACCTCTACCCTCTCCCTTTTGTTTACAAACCTCTTCACTCAAAAACTTGACTTCTAGTGACCAATAAAAGTCAAGAAACACCTTTGATACCAATGGCAAGAAAGTTCCCAAAGGAAGAAGAACTGACTGTGAAGTACCTGAA